GCCTGATCTTTTCTAAACAGCTGATTTCATTTGAGAGTTCCTGTTCCTCTTATATTTGCATGTCTTCTTTTTAGCTTGGTGCTCTGGCCCAGTTTTTAACACTTATTGAAAGCAGGATGCAGATGGAATAGGGGAGGAATTATTGCATTTGGCCTTAGGGGGCTTGACAAATGGCAAGGTGCTAGTCGTGAGCCATAGGTCGCAAGTCTTCCACTCAATAAAGGGGATTAATTCCCCTGTAGCATTCCCCAGCTGGAAAAGTTCGACTTAAATGGTTGCAACCTTACTAGTGTACTAAAATAATTATTACTGGGCAGTTTCTGTTTTCTTACACTAGTGCACTATAAACAAGCATCTCTTTTCTTTCCATGAAGACATTCTCTGATGGAGTCTACATGGAGCTGAAGGAGCTTGCTAGCTAAACTTGGTCCCCTGCACCAGGCAGTACCAGCACAGTTCTTTGGTTTCAAAGTAAGATTCTGTTAAATGTTTCTCACTCCCCTGATATTCCTGCCTTTCTCATCTGTTTGCTCCACCACTCGGTAGAGGTATTGTGTAAATCATCTGTCTTCCTCATAGCCAGCACATCTGATGAAATCCTGTAAAGTTTTCCATAATTTGCTTTTCTAGTGGGAATTTTAATCAACCATTTGGCATTTAGCTCAGCAGGATATATGAATGGACAGTTTCTATGAGTAGTATAGTGGAGCATAGGATTTCTGGGCAGGGTCAATCATGACGTCTTTTTCTGTGGTAAATAGATTGGTAGGTAATAGCTTCATTTTGCAGGCAACTTTAAAATCTAAGGACAAAATAAATAAAGGTCTAAAATCAGGCTCCTGCATCTATATTTAGGCTAAGCGATTTGTAAAGCTATGAACCAGGAAATAGTTCCTAAAAAAGGCAATGAGATTTGCTTACAGATCAGCACTTTTCAAAATTGGATCACATATCTTGGTTCCTAAGTAAGGACCCAGGAACTCAACTTCACCAGGTAACATGGTAATAGCCATTTAGCATCAAGTTCTAAAAAATAAAGAATTATTAGGCTAACAAGTCCCCTTATCCTGCATTCTTTAACTAGAATAGCGTCTGCGTTACTAGCACGATGTAATTACCAAGCCATCCCTGTACATACCACAGGGTATGGTGGCAATTTGCAGGAAATCAGTGTAGAGATTGGAATATTATATTCTTAACCCAGATTATTTTCCATAACCTGATTTTTTTGTGTTGAAGTATATGACAGTTTGTAAAGTTAGAGGAACTTTTATAGACTGGTGTGTGAGGAAGTAGTTAAAGGCCTGATGCAGTGAATCACAGAATAGTTGAGCTGGGAAGGGACTTTTATTCTTTCTTTTTTTGTTTGTTGGATGATTTCCACTATTTTCTGTGTTTTCTCTCTTTCCTGTTCTCTTTCCTACTCCCAGAAACGTAGATGTATTTAATCGCATATAGCCATTGAAAAAAGGTGAAGCAATTTAGCGAGCTAGGTTTGAAATCCCATATGACCTTCCTCTGGGCAGAGAGCTTTGACCATTAGGTAGAAGCCAGGCTCCTTCTTGCTTGTTTTACCTCCTAGCAGCATTCCTTAGCAGTCCTCCATGAGCAAGAAGGAAAAGGAGAATGTCTTCACACCCAGTACTCAGCAGCTTTGTGCTTAGAATGCCTTAGGATACAGGAACTAAGCATTCCTCCTACTACTACTTTCTGAGGCAGGGGACTCTACATTTCCCCCTGGCCTTTACCACAGAACGTGGAATTTAATCCACTCCCTCTCTTCAAGAGGCAGAGTGGACACAAAAGTACTTGCTTTGAGGCCCAGATCTAGACATATCCCCTTCCTTATCAGCTGGCTCTACATCTGTCCTTACTGTATATTCAGTTGTGAGCAGATGTGTATATTCACTCATTATAGTGAGTATATCTTAATGTAGGCTTTTTGACTTGATATTTTTCCACAGTGCAAAGAATTTATTTTGCCCTGCTTCCCTTTTACTAGTTCTGGATAATACATGCAGCCCATTGATTACCTCATTCAACACTTTTAATATGTAAAGAGCTTTCTAAATCCCTAAAACTGGTGTTGTAAAACTGAAACCACTTTAAAGATTGCTTAGACTTAAAATTAGTGATTATACTACAGCCTGTGCCTGTGGGCCTGTGAATATCCCAGGAATGGACTCCTGCATTAATGACATGCAGTGTTGGGTTAGGTAGATTTTCTAGCCGAAGAAATCACAGCCCTCAAGTAGACCAAGTAAGGGCACAGTAACAGAATATATAAGCAGAGTTAGGAAATGTTATGATGACTTCAAGTCTGTTTACTCCTTAATTCTTTAGGAAGGATTTGAACAGGCAGGAATTATTCAACTGGAAAGGCAGAAGAAACAACAGGCTGGGGAAGGGGAGGCATGAGAGAGCAGAGAATAAATTGGAGGGACACTGACTGTGAGAAGCTACAGGGTTGAGGCTGTGGCAGGCAAAGGGAGGTGGAGCAGAGTCATGATAACATCTGGACCGTAGAAACAGTGGAAAATAGCAAAATCATGCATAGATATCATTAGTCTATGACTGAAGTGGGCTGCTGAACCAACTGTGGCTGCATTGGTGGCTCCTTCAGCTGGCTGGGCTGGGAATCCTTTTTTCCTTCCAGACTTGAATGAGTTCAGGTTCAAGATTCTCCAGAAAAGCAAAGGGTTCTTTTCTACGCAGTTATGGATCTGGGGGACTCCTAATCCTTATTTCTTTCTCCCATCCCAGTGCTGTGTAGAAACTTGGGTTTCTATGACATAATGAAATACTCCCGAAGTATTTCAAAGTAGCTTCTGCCTAGTGCATGATGTGTTGGAAGTGATACATCCTCAGTAGTTTTAGAAAATGAGATATTTATTAATTCTTTCTGAAGAACTGCAACTGTAGATTTAGTAACAAAATTCCAGCATTCTTAGGTAGTTACTTAAACGTACTTACAGTACTTTATTCTTTGAAACGTGCAGGTCATCTCTTTGATCGTTCTGTTCGCTTTGCCAAGATTTTGGCAATGCAAATAGGGAAACTGGCAGGCAAGAATATTTTTACAGTTTATTTTTCTTTCTCTTCTGAAGGTCAAACAGTATTTCCTATATATAGCTACTATGGTGGCTGAGAATTAATTCTGAGGACTTTCAAGACTAATACATCTGAAACATGCCATGTTTCGAGAGAAATACCTCATGCTGGTTCCTGTGTCAAGGCTATTCTTGTCTTTTGGTGTGGTAGCCTTTATTAGGGAGGAAGGGTAAGTTCGGCCCTTGTGTTTAAATCCTCAACAATTTCCACTTCTCAAATTCTGAGACAGCAAAAGGTGGGAACATGAAAGGGCAAAACAAATTAACCCCAAATGGCAACCTCCCATCTTTCTTGTTGCAAGTCAGTACAACCTACAGCATACCTGCTAAGCCAATACCAGTTAACTCCATAAGGGTCTGCTCCTTTCTGGAGAGCTCTGACGATACAGAAAAAGGTGAGTAATCTGCCTCCTTAGCCCAGAATCTTTCTGAAGAGGCAAGGACTAGGAATCTCTATGCCTGGGCTTAAGATTTAAAGTCTTTCTCTAGTTCTGATATGGCTGGGCAGAGCTCTTAAGAAATGTATTAACTCTGTATCTTTTTTTTATTCTTCCTCCCCCCAGGTCTGTCCAACCCTACTGACCATTATGTGTGTCCTGCACACATTTGCTCTGTATCTGCATTTATGTTAGAAATATATTTACTTTGGTAATAAGAGTGATGAAACCAAGCTCAAAGAAAGGAATATTCATAGTGAAGGAAGAGATCAGTGTATAGTCAGGTTTCCTAGCTGAACAGTGTTGGCAACCCTCGTTTTGGGTATTTGTTCTTCGAATGTTTGGTAAACTGGAGATTACAACTCAGAATGAGTCTGAAAATTCTAGTCATGTGTTCAGAAGGTATTGATCTCTGTTATTATGAGCAGGAGCATGATCTTGACAGCATCTGGGTTTCTTGGATTTCAGGAACATGTTCCTGTCCTCTTCCTTCACTCACTGGTGGCTGCCTCTTTCAGCTATGACAAACTACTGCAGAGGTTTTCGTGGGATGATAGACTTCTCACGTATTCCTTCTTTTTGCTGCTTAATTAGCATGCCCATGTCCAGGGGTCATGTCATCCTTTTACAGTTCCCAGCTTTATCAATCTGTTGAACTCCCTCAATGATAGTCTTTACCAGAGTTCACAAGATTGACAGTGATTCTATTGTTTGATGGTTTCACTGGTACATAATATCTTTGCAATTTTCTGTTGCTTACAAAATGGCAAAAATGTTTCCTACCACACAGAAGTTCTTCCCTGTGAGGGTGCTGAGGCACTGGTACAGGGTGCCCAGAGAAGCTGTGGCTGCCCCATCCCTGGCAGTTTTCAAGGCCAGGCTGGACACAAGGGCTTGGAGCAACCTGCTCTAGTGGAAGGTGTCCCTGCCCATGGCAGGGGGTTGGAACTGGGTGAGCTTTAAGGTCCCTTCCAACACAAACCAGTCTGGGATTTTATATAAAAAGAAACAAAGTTTAATTCTCTATCTTTAATACAGGCTAGTGAATAAGTTTGGTGCATGATTTCCTTACTTGCAATTCTTAGGACTAAAAATAGTTTCATTAATATCTTATTTGCTGTTTCATTTTCATACACATGCATTGAGAAGAGAAATGAGAGTGCCAGAAATACTGTGTAAGCAGTAATTCTTGTCAGATGAGAAGTGGGAATGGATTGAGGAAAACCTCTGGGAAAGTCTGGTTCTGGTGAGACGTCTTGTTCAGTTAAAAGAGAATAAAACCGCTTCTGATAAAGATGAGATTTGTCTGCCCTTGAATTTCCTGAACACTCACATCATATATTCCTGTATCACAGGTTTTGGTGTGTTTCTTTTATTTCATCCAGACATGTCCCTTCTCTGAATTCTGATCGTACTCTTTTCAAGCTATAATAGTTCTTTTCTCGTTTTACAGACTGTTTTCGAGAGGAACTGTCAATCTGATGACTGTGCTGCTGATTTGAAACTTCAGGGTAAATTACTGCTCTCTAGGTGAGTAGGTGAACTTCTTTTTTCTTTTCCTTTACTGTGGTAGTATGCCATTTATTTTATGTAAGATGGCAGTGAAAAATCAAAATACAAAGATTTTGTATCCAGACTACAAGGATGACACCAGTGATACCACCTTTAGTGCAGAAAGGTCTTGGGGAGGGACTTTATCACTCTCTACAAGTACCTGAAAGGAGGATGGAGCCAGGAAGGTGCTGGTCTCTGCTCTCAAGTAACAAATGACAGACCAAGAGGAAATGGTCTCAAGCTGCACCAGGAGAGGTTTAGACTGGAGATTATGAACAGTGTCTTCTCTGAAAGGGTGGTCAGGCATTGGAACAGGCTGCCCAGGGCAGTGGTGGAGTCACCGTGCCTGGAAGTATTCACACACCATGTAATGCATGCTCAAATTGAGTACAGACATGGACCATGGAATTTTTCAGATGATAAAATACTAGTTTATGACATGGTAGGAGTAAAACTGCCTGCAAAGTTATCACATGGAAGATTAAAAACAGCCAATCCTCAGAACATAGCAAACTATCTTTTTCTGTTTCTCAACGTGTAGTTTTGCTGACTGTCCTGAAATACTGCTCTCCTTTGTCAGATACTTCTTGTTAGCAACTTGTGTGTGTGTGTCTCATTTCACTTTCTTCTCATCAAAACCTCATCAACTAGACCAGAGGTGAAGTTTGTGTTCTGTCCCTTGTGACTGGTGATCCTAAGAAAATGCCTATTGTTTTGCCTGGATGTAGTTATTCAATTTCGGGATAAATGAGGCTAAAGGTGAACTTTACACATCACTTCTGTTTCCTTTTTTTCTCAGCATTTTTAGCACATTTTTAGAGATGGAAGTGCTGACACAAGTTATTTAATCTTGTGCCAGAGGTTTTGCTGTTTGATGGAGATGCTTTCAGTGAAATGCTTTGCTCGCAGGTCAGGAAAGAGAGGGGAAGAGACTCCCTTGCTTTAGGGAAAAAAAAAAAAAGATTGAGGAAGAAATAATACTCAGGAGAGAGACACACATTTTATATAAGCCTACAGCAATGCCGTAACCGTACTTGGAAACAAAACTGAACCAGAGTCAAGTCTGAGAAGTTATGGACTTCTCCAGACACGACTGAAGTCCACAGGAATGTTTCGGGGGATTGGCGGGGAACAGGGTTAGGTCTCAGGTTGCCGAGTCCAAGCTTTGACTGCAATTAGTCAGGATTCGTGACCTTTCACTTGAGCTTTGTGGTGAGCAAAGTCTGCTGAGAGCTGGAGACCTGTCTGTGCAGACTAGGGAAGCCAGTGAGGGATTTTGTCTTGCAGTTGAGAAATAATCAATAACAAGCAAGAGGCAAGTCCTAACAACTTGTCAGGCAGTGTATAGTAATCATAGCACTAAGAGCTGTGTTCATGATCGGAGCATTAAACTGTTTATAGCAGTTATTTATGTGATCTTGGCTATTTAAAAGCCACAACTGTCAAAGAAGCTTAGGATATTCAAATACAGTTTCTACCATTGGATAGCAAGATGTTGAAGAAGTGCTCTTAAATCTTCTTTATCCAGTGACACTCTGAAGTCCTGTTTGAGATAAACAGGATGTTGTCAAATCTATCAAGTCTGCACAGAACAGGTTTTCTTTAGCTAAAGAGCTGTGTAGGCTTCAGTTTTGAATCAAAGCAGAATAGGTATCTAAGGAAAATAAGTATTTTTGTTATTATTATCGTTATTGTTATTACTACAAAAGCATGCCATGGATTCTGATCCTAGGGAAGTGTCTGTCTTGAAGAATACGGTCATTTTTCCAGCCCCATGTGTTTCGTGCTCCAGAATTCTGTCAGCATTTTTCCACATTCCTCCTGTTTATGCTACCTCTGTGTACAAAGCACCTTTTTTTTTTTTTTTTTAGAAAGAGCAAAAAAGGTGACTCATTGATTACTATCTGCACTAAACAATTGACTTCATTGTTTGCAAGGTTGCGGCAATGCCTTTGTCTAAATAAATAATTACATCCAACTAAATTTGGTGGACTTACTGGAAAAAATGCAATTAATGGCACACAGGCAGATTGGATTAAAATAAACAGGATGTTTATGGGAAGGCAGCAATAAGTGCTGTCTCAGAGCTGCTGGAGCTCTTTGAAGATGTCGCTGGACATGCGGGTAGGGTAATCCAGTTCACATCATCTACCTGGACTTGCAAAAGACTTTTTACTAAGATTTCTCACCAAAGGTTCACAAAGAAAGTAAGTTGCCCAGGTCTGAGGTGCCTGAATGGTGCCTGAGCATTACTATCTAATTAAAAGGTAGCCAACAGGGATAAGGTGTAAATACTTTTATCCTCCTGGTGGAGAAAACTCCACAAGTGCTTCTGCTGAGGCCAGTGGTTTTCAACATATTCATAGTTGATCAGGGAAATAATCTGCAAGAGATTAATAGCAAGATGATAAAGTTTACTAATCATACTAAACTATTCAGAGCAATGAAAAGAACATGGAGGTATGCTTTCATGAAGTGTGTGATTAATCTCTTGATTTTACTGTTGGGAATGTTGGAAATGCTGAGAGTTAGAGAAATGGCAAATATGAATGCTGGAAGGTGCAGAAATATGTCAGCAAAATAACAGTTTGTGCTTGCCTTGTTCTTCCATAGGCTTCTTGCTTTTAGACATAGCTGGATACAGAACTCTATGCTAGATGGACCGACTTGGTCTGGCTGTTCTTCCACACTTCTCATGAATTTGTAGCATATTAGAGCCAAAAGCTGTGCAAAGAGCTATATAATGTAAGGTATAGTTTTGTTCATTGCTATATATAAGATGCTTTCAAACGTGTGCTGGTTAGGGCATATATGTGTGTAGGAAGTTAGTTTATATTATCATCAAGAGAATTATGTGCTGAGATCACTCTTATGAGCTAAAGAACTGCACAAGCTACTCTGATATAGAGTTCACCTGGAATGCATTTGAATCACTAGAATTACCCAGTTAAATGATTGCACCCAGCTTCGAGGATGCCAAACCCACATACCAAATGACTCTCAGGAAAACCAACCAGTGCTGGCAAAAGCTAACCAGGTCTGCTCTGATTTTGCTTTTCTTGGGATCTCCTTCTCTTCTGAAAACTTACGCATGTGCCCTCAAATTTTGAGCCCTCAAATTCTGAGCACTGCACTTTGATAAATAACAAATAGACAGCCCAGGATGTTAACACAAGGTCTAGGCAACAACCTAACACATGGCTATTTGTCCAAAGTGCTCAAGCCATGCAAATCTGCACGTGTAAGTTAGAAACTTCACTGCTGTTCTGACCAGATATGATTTGGTTTACCTCATTATTTCCTGTTGTCGAGGTGCTGCTGCATGTGAGTTTTCCACTGCGTGTGGAAACAGTGCTGCTGGGCAAGCTGAAATCCTCCTTTGTCAAGCTGGAGAAGAGGGTAGAGTAGGACTGCTTGAAAGTGGGTGATGATAAAAATCCTTAAAGTTGTAGCTCTATCTGGAAGCTTTTGCAAAGGTTTGGATGGGTGGGGGGTGGTATGTGGTGGTTCTTTGAATACTTCTGTAATAGTGAAAGGTGTCCTTAGAGACTTAACCTGAAGACCAGGGTAGCAGAATCATAAAATAGTTTGGGTTGGACTGGACCCTCAAAGGTCATCTAGTCCAAACCCCTGCTGTGAGCAGGGACATCTTCAACATGCTGTACTGGAGAAAAAAAAAAACAAACCGCAACACCAAAAAGAGTTAGAATGCATTTATCCTGTAAAGAATAAGGTTTGTTTTCAGTTAATAGATGAATCCCTTTAAGGTTCATCCACCTTCATTAGTATCAGTTTGTGCGTAAACCCATCCCAACTTCCTGAAGGTATTGTGGGATGAAGGAGCCAAGCTCTTCCTGCTTGGGGTAGATGACAAGAGGGGTGAGAATCATGGAGTGTGGCTTGGCAGGTTCAGACCAGAGATTTGGAAGAACCTTTTCACACAGGCAGTTCATGCTGCCCAGGTATGAGGTGTGCTGAGATGGTGTGCTCTGCCATCCTGGGATTCAGGACTTGGCTAGATAAGTAGAAGTGAAATTGAAGGAGCAGAAGGGAGGTGTTTCATCTTTCCAGTCATGAGTGCTTTCAAATCCATTTTTCTTAAAGAACAAACATTGGAGGTTTTGGCAGCACAGAGACTACTCATCACCTCCCCTTTGAAGAGTCTCCAGTGTTAAATCTTGCAGCTGTCACAGGAGATAGCCAAATCTGGCCCTATCTATGAAGTGATGCTAGGTGGAGAGTGGGAAGATGTCTTAAGAAAGAGAACTGAAAGTATCTTAGTGTAAAGAATGTATTTATGTATTGCATACAGGTAAGTTTAATGACACAACCTGAACCCATAAGAGAAATAGGAATAGAATATTTTGCAATAAACTTTATTTTTATGGCCATAGCTTTGGGACACCAATAGGAAACGAGTTTTCCTTTCCATCAATCCAGTCCTGAAAAGCAAAACACAATTAAAGGGTGTTCTGGTAGCTATTATTTTCACATAATGTTTGATATTAAAAATATATTTATTACGTATCATGCTTGACTTCAGTGTCTCACTCTGTTTTCTCAGCACAGCAAATGTCTTTTCCATCAGGTTTCTGTAGCAAATAGTACATTTTCATTGAGCCTCTCCGTAGCTATTTTTTTCAAGGGTGAACTACATCTGTTTCCTCAAGATGTGCTGGGGGAAACTCTGAAGTAGGTGTTCTGTAGAAGATTATGCCTCCCTAGCCTTTAAAATCTGCTAATCCCGTCCTCTGATACTTTATGTGGGAAAAAAGGCTCTGGTGTTTTAGGAACCTGAAAGTGCTGAGGGAGCAGGGGTGCTAGAAATACATGTCTTGTCTGATATACTGATGCGGTTTCAGGTCCTTAGCTGATGCCTGTCTATCTGATCGGCCCTCTGCAGAGACAGTGGTAGTTGTCAGTCCTGTTTAGGCTGTAACAGGAACCAAGTGAAAACCATAAAGAAGACGTTTGAG